CTGACAGAGTGAGACTCTAACTCAAAAAAAAAAAAAAAAAAAACAAGAAAAAAACAAAGTAATTAGGTGAATGAGAATGACATAATTCAAGTTTCTTGTGTTTTTTCTTTTTTCTTTTTTTCTGTAAATGAATGACTCATCATTAATTTTTTCAGTTGGTGATGCTTAATGTGGGGAGGAAGGGATGTCCAGCTCTGTTGTAATCCCTGACATTCTAAAATTCTTTCCCAGTCTCTAACTCACTGCTCTCCAAATCTTACAATATCTAAGAATAGAAATATCCTGGAGAGTTGGCCTGGTAGACGTATTTTTCAGTTGATAGCGTTTTTCACATCTACTCTTGTCAGAAGAGAGGTAGCAAAGGTTAGGATAGTTTTCCAAAAATATCAAAACCTTTATCCCCTATGGCATTACTTCCCCAAGTCAATGAGAATTATCTTGAGCAGAAATATCTTGCAGCCGGGCTCGGTGGCTCAGCCTGTAATCCCGCGCCTTTGGGAGGCTGAGGTGAGTGGATGGCCTGAGCCCGCGGGTTCGAGACCCGCCTGGGCAGCGAGACCTCATCTCTACAATAAATCAAAAAATCAGCCGGGCGTGGCGCATGCCTGTAATTCCGGCTACTCGGGAGGGCTGAGGCGGAAGGATCGCCGGAGCCCAGCAGATCGAGGCTGCGGTGGCCGGGAGCGGCCACTGCACTCCAGTCTGGGCGACAGAGTGAGACTCCACCTCAAAAAAAAAAAAAAAAAAATTAGCCAGGTATGGTAGCACATATCTGTGGTTCCAACTACTTGGAAGGCTGAAGCAGAAGGATCACCTGAGCCCAGCAGGTCGTGACTGCAATGGCCATGAGCATGCCACTGCACTCCAGCCTGGGCGACAAAATGAGACTCCTACTCAAAAAAAAAGAAAAGAAAGCAGAATCAGTTGTGAGAAAGGCTAGGAAGATGGAGGAAGTTGGGAGGAGGGCAGGCTTCATGGAATAGGCACTGACCTCAACGGTTGTGCTCAATGACAATAGTCACAGACTGGTGGAAATCAGATTGGGAGGGTCCAGACCACAGAGCTGGAATATTTGCCTTTTGGGGACTGGCAGTGAAGAGTCATGGTCTCTCAGTGAGCTGGTGAGCCAGGTAGAACACAGAGCCCTGGGAACCAGCGGTCCAGAGGCTGCCAGATAGGAGGCAGACTTGAGGCCCCACTAAGGGAGGCTGGGAGTCAAGGAAGAGTACTGAGCAACTGGCCCAAGAGACAGGGACACTGGAGTGGGAGTAGAATAGTCTTTCTACTGTGTTTTCTTACTCTTGGCTGCATTTAATTCTCACTTGCTGGACTCGGAGCAGGCCTTTGTTTCCATTTTACAAATGAGCAAAGTGGTTCCCCTACACCCCATGTCTTACTATGGTAGGGCCTAACTGGGAAAGGGGGCTCCTCTACCTGGGCCTCAGGTGACACCGGCACCTTGAAGAGCCCCCACCTCTCTCCTTGCTGAGCCCCTTCAGGGACACCTGTGTCTGCTCTGCCCCCTGCCCTTCCCAGGCATGACCCATGAAGACATCGTTCAGGAATCCAAGAAATACTGGCAGCAGATGGAGGCCCATGCAGGGAAGGCCAGCAGCAGCTTGGTAAGGCCTGGGCTTAGCATTGCAGGTGGGATCAGGGCTCACAAGGGCTATCAGTATCCCTTTACTTGCAGATAATTTCATACATACCAGAAAGTTGTAAGAATAGTATGAAGAATTTATGTATGCTTTTTTCCTGGATTTTCCAGAAGTAAACATTTTCCCACATTCATCACTCATTTGTGTGTGTGTGTGTGTGTGTGTACATTTACATATACACATATACTTTTTTTTTTTGAGTTGGAGTCTCTGTTGCCCAGGCTGGAGTGCAATGACATATTCATGGCCACCCTAGTGTCAACCTGCTGGGCTCCAACAATCTTCTGCCTCAGTCTTCCAAGTACAGACTACAGACACATGCTACCATGCCCAGCTATTTTTTTAAAAATTTATTGTAGAGATGAGGTCTTGCCAAGTTGCCCGGGCTGGTCTCGAATCCATGGGGTCAGGCAAACCACTCATCTCGGCCTCTCAAAGTGCTGGGATTACAGGTGAACCACTGAACCTGACAATTTTTTTTTTTTTTTTTTTGAGTTGGAGTCTCAC